TCCCTAAGCACCGCCCTCACTGTGGCCAGCCTCGCCCCCTGCGGCCCCGCCTGTCTCCCTCCCATGGTCCCGCTGCTCCTCCAGCTCCCGCCCTGCCCGGCCCCGCTTCCGGGGCCCGGACCCCGTATCCTCTCAGCGAAATCGCACAGGTGCGGCCGGCTCTCGGACGTCCCAAGCCCAGGTGGCTTCCGCGTCAAGATGGCTGCCTCATGCAGCCGCACGCCGCCAGTGGCTCCGCTGCTGCGCGCCACGCTCTGCCTGCTGTGCTGGGCCCCGGCGGCCGTGGGCGCTGTCCCCGAGCCCGGGCGCTGGGAAGTGACTGTCAGCGACGTAAGTGGCGCGTGTAGGCCTCGGGGCCTCCGGGCCCCAGGGCGGCTTCTGCCCCACGGGCGTCCTCCTCCGCTGGCCAGGGCGTGGGGGCGATGGGTCTTGCGCTGCAGGGTCGGCTGCCCTCTAACCGAGCCCCGGCCTCGGCGCTCAGCCGCGTCCCCGGCAGCCCTGGGGCCACACCGCGAGGCCACACCGGGGACTCCCGGTTCAGTTCCGGCAGAAACCAGAAAGCGCGCACCGCTTCCGTGTTCTCTGTAACCGGGAGGAGGACACTTGGGGCCACCCACTCTCCTTCCCTCTTCTTGGGCCCCTGAACTGCACAGTCGCGCGAGCGTGTGGGTGGAAACGGAGATACGTATGGGAGGCTAGTCTGCAGGCCATCCGAGCACTTGGCACCCTGGTTACCGAGATGATGTGGGGTCGCAGGGGTGGCATTTTGGAAAGGCTTGCTAGAGACTTTAGGACAGGAAATCGGGAAGAGGTTCTGCGTTTCTAGATGAGACGACTCCGCCAGCTCTGTTTGATAGGAGTATTTTCCACAAGCATGGAAATATGTCCAAACTCTAGAGGCAAAACTTCTATTTTTATTTCCTCAACCAGAAAAAGAAAGTAGTACGAGGCCGCGATGCTTCCTACAACAGAAAAGCTGTACAGAGGGCTGGAAGTCGCTGTTTTTCATCTCTCCCAGGACCCTTCCCAGTGGGGGCCCCATTCCGTGCGGCAGCGATAGATAAAGCCTGCATGTCTCCATTATTGTATTTCTCTGATCAAAAAGGAGCAAAACTCGGAGAACCACACTCAGGGTTTCATACTGTTTTTGAAGTGAATGGGCTGTGTCATAAACTAAATTGCAAGGAACAGTATTGAAAGTGAGTCAGCTGCGGACAGATTGCTAAACGACTTGGCCATATCTGTAAAGATCTTTGCCAGGTACACTCTGGATGGTGAGACTCCAAAGGCCGTGGGGTAGAGTACTTTACTTCCTGTATGAGGGAGAGACATTTTCCTTGGGTCCCTCATAATCAGTAGTCAGGCCAGTAGCAGTCCATAAAACCCTTCTCTGCAAAGAGTAGGCTGATTTTTTTCCCATTTCAAGTTGCCAGAACTTGTCCTTCAGAACAGGAAGGAGAGTTGGCATTTATTTGTACTGCACATCTATCGAGAAATGGTTTTGATTGTAAAGGTCAGCAAACAGTCTGAGCACCTACTGTGTGCCATGCACTGCACTGGCCATTGCTGTTGCAAAGCTGAATTTCAGACAGTGGCCCCTTCTCCAGAAGCCCACACAGTAGGGACAGCAGACTTGTGAGCAGTCACTGCATATGTGGCGGCATCTTGTGTTATTACTGGAGCACCCAGGAGTCGTCTGACCCTGCTTTCTAGAGTCTGTGCCTGGTGTAGTCTTAAAAGACCTTGGTAAAGAATGAGAGAGTAGAACAGCAGCTGTGCAGGAACTAGAAAGTGTTTCTGCTGAGTGACCTTCTGGCAGGAGGCCCAGAAGGGTCTCAGGCCACCATAAGCTTTGCACACCTGAGCTTGGCCTTGAGCCTGAGGCCCAGGGTCTATCAAGGACCTACAGGGGCTGAGGTAGGTCACATGAGCAAGTGAAGTGAGCTGATTTAGAACTGGGGGGCTGGGAGGATGCAGTGGACTGTAGATTATATGCCCCTTCTGATGCGAGAAGCTGCCCTTTGGCTCTAGCTGGGGGACACCATATGGCAGGGGACGCACAGAACTGCCAGGTCTACCTTTTAAAAATGAAGGCAAGGGCTGGCCGAGTGGCTCAGTTGGTTAAGAGTTCGCTCAAGAGTTTGAGTTCTGAGCAACAGCGGTTCAAGTCCTGGCCCGAGCTGAGCAGCCGCTGAGCTGCCAACAGGTGGCAGGATGGCTCAGCTAAGAAAAAAAAAAAAAGTGAAGGCAGAATCCATATTTTTATGTCAGCTAATTCAAAACTTTTTTTAAAAGGGCCCCCCTGTCACCCAAATAAACCCCATTTATTGGTTGCATTAAGCCCCCCCAGGCAAGCCGTAGAAATTTTGGGGTGTGAATGAAGGAGAGCCATTGAAAGATTTTGGACATAAATGCTGATCACTGTGGCTGCTGCCAGGATGAATTCTGGGCCCCAATCTGGAGGCAGAGGGACAGTTAAGTTATTACACAGTGTGGGCAGGAAAAGGCCATCGGCCTGAGTCAGGGCAGTATGGCAGGAAATATGAGCAGGAGCTAAGTTTGGGGTGTGTGTGTGAGATCAAGTGGGCGTGCTTTGGGCTATGGGCAGTGGAGGTGAGGGACTGGAAGGGGCCATGGCTTGGGTGACAGGATGGCATCACCTACAAGCAAGGTGGATAGTGCAGGGAGAGTGATGAGCAGAGAGGAATGTCAGGCTTAGGGCAGTGTGCTGTGGAATGTCTGCCAGACATCCCTGTGGATGTGACCTTTAGGCAGTTGGGTATGTGGACATGGAGCTCAGAGGAGAGACCCAGGATGGGGGTTTTATTGTTGTTGAAACTGTGTTGGAAAGGGGAATAGGTTTTCAGGAAAAGAGCTGCCTGTCCCATCTGTTTTGCTTTCATTCCTAACCTCTTGTCCATTTAACACAGTCCCTCCTCACAGTATTTTTATTCTTTGTGAGGGCAGACTAAATAATACAGTGTTTGAATGGTGGTGGAGCCCATGTAAGGGAGGGCCTGGCCGGGTATGGAGCATGGTGGAAGACTTCTTGAGGAAGGGACTTGTGAACTGGGCTTTGAAGGCTGAGAAGGAGTTAATGAGGAGGAAAGAGGGACGGGGTGGAGAAGAGTTTTAAGTCAGCTCCCAGGTAGACCACTAGGGTCTGGAGGGCAAGAAGGCGTATCATGCTTTGGAGAAGCTGAAAGGAAGGTTCTAGAGAGGGGCGTGGCCCTGCGAGCTGCAGTGACACTGGTCTGCTGTACGTCCTCAGTGGAGAGCCATCACAATGCAGGGGGAGGGTCTGCCAGCTTTATCAGAAGCACCTTCACTGCAGGGACACAGGCAGGTCCCCTGTGGGAGCAGCACTGCTGTGCATTGTCTGCTGCCCTCAGCTCCTGGGTGTGGCTGGACCCTGCAGGGTCACTGGTAGGAGAAGCATTCCCTCCAGCAGCATCAATGTGGGATGCAAGGGTTTAAGCAAGTGAGTGACATGATCAGATCTACCTTTTTAGAAAATAATCACTCTGGTCATATGGAGCTGTGCAAGAACTAGAGGGTAAAGCTATACTCAAACAATAGAGAAAAATGTTTAACAGATCTTTCTATATTTTTTTGTTTTTCGTTTTAGAAATCAGGACCTTTGATATTTAGGAAAACTATGTTTAACTCAACTGAGATCAAATTTTCTGGTAAGTATAATAAGCTGTGATACTAATATAACAATATATTATAAATGAGTAACATAATATATTATAAAATGATACATTAATTTAATGTAAACTAATATAAGGTAACATATTTTATAAACTAGGCAAATGTTTTTTGTTTTGTGTTTTTTTTTAAGATTTTATTGGGGAATCAGGGAAGGGGAATAAAGTTGCTGTCCTTTTGTTCTTCAGTCTATTGTGGAGGACGCCGTTTTACTGGCCCATGTTGGTATTGTGATCATTGCGCTCTTCCCGGCTGAGGCAGTCGGTTGCCAGCCGCTCAACCACAGCTAGGTGAGCCACCGGCCACTCACACAAGTTGCCGGCCTCTCTTGGTAGCTCACGGCAGCCCACTGCGGCAGGGGCTGCAGCCTGTGCCGTCGCCGGCCACTCACGGCAGCCCAGCTCCAGGTCGAGCTGTTCACAATCTTAGCTGTAGAGGGTGCAGCGTCACTGGCACATGTGGGAACCGAACCGGCAGCCCTGCTGCTCAGAGCTTATGCTCCCAAGCCAACCCTTAACCAACTGAGCCACTCAGCCAGCCCAGCAAATGTTTTGTTTTTCAATGGTTCTATTTAAGGGTTTCTTTTGTTTCAGTCAAGTCTTGGTTATCTTCAAGAACTGATTTTTCTGATCCTTCTCAGAAAATGTAGTCTGATTATTCTTTTTTTTTTAATGTTTTTTTGGGGATTATCGGGGAACAGTGTGTTTCTCCAGGACTTATCAGCTCCCAGTCAAGTAGTTGTTTCAATCTATTGGGTAGTCGGAAAAGTCATGATGCATTTTTGCAATGAAAAACAGAAAAAATACGTCATGACTTCCGACAGCCCAATAGTTGTGGAGGGCACACCTCAGTGGCCCATGTAGGAATCAAACTGGCAACTTTTGTGTTATGAGCACTGTGCCCTGTGTTCTAACCACCTGAGCTAACTAGTTGTCTCTGATTATTCTTTTAAAATTATAATTAATATCTAATAAAGTAGGCTTAGCAAAAAGGTGTTTGACTTCTATGAAATTTGACTCTGGAGCTCAGCCTTTAAAACTAGATAAATTACTTTTATGAATATATGAAATGTCATGATTGTGATAAAGCCTTTATACCCCTCAAAATTTTCTAAATATACACATAAAATAAAAATTACTGGACACCAACATTTTAATTAGGATTTCGGGGTGTATGGAAGTGACAGTATTTGTTAGGGATCGTGTTGTCCACATAAGTACCACAGTGTGAGGATTACCAGGCCAGAGCCTGAGATTTTCAGTATTTTTAATGGTTGACTTTGGATCACATTTGCTGTGGTCCAACTCCTCTTAGTGTCTCCAGCAACTTGCCTGAGTGAGTTGGTTGTCAGGGTTAAAGTGTTAGGGTAAGGAGTAGTTTTTGGTTGGGCAGAGCACATTTGCTTCCTGGGGACCCAGAGCCTTGCCCCTTTTCTCAGTCACCCCATGCTCTGATCACCTGCTGGGTGTCTGCCACACATGGGTCTTGGCTGAGGGAAGTAGGCCTGCTGTCAGCTAGAAAGCAGAGGTGGTTCAAAGTAGCTTGGTGACTTCAGACCGTCAGTGGTCATAAGACCTTGGTAAGAGGAAATTGAAGCCCAAGGTGGGTGAGGACAAAATTTTGGCATCTGATTGTGTTAACGACTTCGCGTCTGAATGTCTAGACAAATAAGACTTAAAAGACTGGTACAGACAAAAAAAAGTACGTGGGGAAAAAAGTTATATGGACCAGTAAAACACAGAATTTGATTTAAAAAAAATTAGTAGGTAACATCAGAGATCAGTCAGGACAGTGGTATTAACATTTCTCAAGAAAGGATGAGGCAGCAGAAAGAAGCCAGGAGCAAAAGCATGAGAAAATGAGGGTTTAGTCAGGGACAAGTTAGCAGCTTCCAACAGTGTCGCTGGAGAGAGGTCCCAGAGAACTCTCTGACTACGGCTGTGACATGTGGCCCGCAGGTATAGATGCAGCATGACCTGGGCGTCCTTGTTCTGGTGCCATGCACACCAAGCAGCCTTCACATCACCATTGGGCGTCCTGGAAGGCATGCTGAAGGGAGAGAGTTACTTGATCGTTACACATCCATTTTCAGCTACTGTTCATTTTAAGTGAGTAATTGGACATTCTGGTTTGTACACCTATATCCATGGTGTGAAAGCATGAGACTGACTCTCTGTGTTCTAACACAACAGACGTTAGTGCCTGCAAAGCTGAGAATAGTCCCTGGAGTCCATGCTGTTTGGCAACTTGGACATTTGGCTTTTCCTTAGGTGACCCCTTTTGCTGCCTCATTCAAGGTGCTGTCATATGGAGCCACTGTTGAAGATCTCTCCATGTAACTCACCATATTAACAGAATAAAATAAATATACCATATAATCATCTCAATATATACAGAGAAGCATTAGAAGAAACTCAACACCCATTTATAGTAAAGACTCTCAGAAAACGAGAAATAGAACAAAACTTCCTCGACCTGATAAAGGGCATCTATGAAAAATCTACAGCTGACATACTGTCGGTTCTCCCCAGATTGATCTATGAATTTAATTAATTCCAGTCAAAATCCAAACCAACTCTTATGTAGAAATTGACCAGCTGTTTCTAAAATTTATATACAAAGAACCTAGAAAGCCAAAACAATTCTGAAAAAGAACAACTTTGAAAGGATTTTACCACCTGAATTCAAAACCTACATAAAGCTACAGTGGTAACAGTGTGGCACTGGCAAAAGGATAAACCAGGAATCAGACTAGGAACCCCAGAAATAAACCCACATACATGAGGCCAGCTGGTTTTCAACAGACATGCCAGGTCATTCATTAGAGAAAGGACAATCTTTTCAACAAAAGATGCTGGAACAGCTGGATGTCCACACTGAAAAAAATCTCAACTCTGACCTTGGATCGTGGACTTAGGCACCCTACCCGCACCTGTCCTCCCTCCTCAGCCTCCATTTACATATGTTGGACTGCTGGATGCTATCCCTTGGGTCACTGAGGCCCTGTCAATTTTTTGTCAGTCTCTTTCCTGTGCTTCATTGGATATTTCTATTGCTTTGTCTTCAAGTTCAATCATCCCTTTCTTCTACAGTGTCTAAGTGGTTAATCTCATACAATGCATTTATTATTTCAGATAGTGTGTTTTTCAATCTCTGGGAGTTTCATTCTTTTAAAAAATATCTTATTTCTCACCTCAGTATTTTCAGATTTTCCTTTACATCTTGGAGCATATGGAAGATATTTATAATAGCTGTTTTCACATGTGTATCTGCTAATTCCATTATTTTTGTTGTATTGACTGATTTCTGTCATGGTTATGAGTCAAATTGTCCTGCTTTTTATATCTAGTGTTTTTGTTTGGATGGTGGATATTGTGAATTTTGTGTTCTTGAGTGATGTGGTATCGTATTGCTTTAACAGCTTTATTCTGGCAGACAGTTAAGTTTCTTTTGGGTCAGTTTGATCCTTTCCAGTTTTGCTTTTAATGTATTTTAGGATGGATCTGAAGTAGCCTTTACTCCAGGGCTGACTTAGCCCCATATGTACGTCTCTCCCAGTGCCTGGTGTATTGAGCGGGGCCTATGCAGCCTGATTAGGACAGCTCAAACCATCCCATCCTGTGTGGACTCTAAGAGTCCTCAGGCTTCTCCCTGTACGGCCAGAGACTTGGGGACCTCTGTGCAGAGTTCTTTCACTCTTCTCTGTGTAGCTCCCAGCTCTTGGGTGCTCTGCCCCAGAAATTCTGCCCCCTCAACCTCTGGAACATCAGTCTCAGCTCTGTTTGGGTTCCTGCTGCCTGCTGGCCTTCAAGATGGCTCACAATAGTCCCTGCCTCCTGGTGTTCATGACCTGTGTAGTCCCCTACCATATTCTCTCAAGGTTGATCTGACCAGTAGAATGTGGCAGAAGGAATGGCATGCCACTTTTGACTAGGTCATAGAAGACACTGTGATTTCTGCCCTGCCCTCTCTCTGTGATGAGTCGCTCTGAGCAAAGCCAGTTGCCATGTTGTCACTGCACTCCCAAAAGACCTTTCTCTCAGTCTAGCCCAGCGGTTCTCAACCTTCCTAATGCCGCGACCCCTTAATACAGTTCCTCATGTTGTGGTGACCCCCAACCATAAAATTATTTTCGTTGCTACGGTATAACTGTAATTTTGCTACTGTTATGAATCATAATGTAAATATCTTTTTGTTTTCCGATGGTCTTAGGCGACCCCTGTGAAAGGGTCGTTCGACCCCCAAAGGGGTCGCAACCCACAGGTTGAGAACCGCTGGTCTAGACTTAATCCTTTTCAGTGTGTCTAACCATGCTACTCTCCTTCCTGAAACATTTGGTGGTGCTTTGGAAACTCCTAGCGGAGCATTAAGAGCCTTATGCATTTCCTCCAGCTTCCCCAGCTGTGTTCCAGCCACAGGAACTGTTTCCAGGTGGTCCCGCTGGAGCCATGCTCTCACCCACCCTGGGCCTTTACATGAGTTAGTCAGTGAAGAGAACATTTTAGAGTGAAGTAAGCAGTGTCTTGGCATCATATTTGGCCACTCAGCTGGTCTAACACTGGACTCAACATATATATGAAATGAACACTAATACAGCAAGTTTTGGTTAACTATGATAATTTCATTTAATGAATTTATCTGTCTCATTTTGCAGTGACTTTTGGAGAAAGTAGGTAACATTCTCCTCAGTGTTTCATCGAAGTAGCTTGTTTTAAATTACATTCTTGAAACCTTAAGTTTATAATGGAGACTTATGTATTATTATTGTAAAATGAGACTTTCTTTTTCTAAACAGTTAAGTCATTCCATTGTTCTGGGCCTATGAGATTTACCATAGACTGGCACTTGAAGCATTATACCTGTCAAAATGAATATTCTCAGCTGGAAGTAAGTAAAACAAATATTTTCAAAGTTATGTTTACTGAAGTAGCATGGGTTAATAACATTATATACATTTCAGGCCTACAGCCTTGTAATTCAGCATCTGTATACTCGCGTGCTTGCCCTCCAGCCAGAGTCTGGTCTCCTTCTGTCCCCTTGTTTTTGACCCTCTACGCAGTTTGCCCTCCCACCACAATCCCCTCTCATAACCACCATTCTGTTGTCTGTGTCTATGAGTTTGTTTTGTTAGTTTGTGTGTGACTTTTTGTTTTATATTCCACATGAGTGAAATCACATGGTTTTTGTCCTTTTCCATCTGACTTATTTCACTTAGCATAATAATCTCAAGATCCATCTATGTTGTTGCAAATGGCACTATTTCATCTTTTTTTATCCATTGTGTATATGTACCACTTCTTTATCTAGTCATCTATTGACGGGCACTTAGGTTGTTTCCATATCTTTGGCTATTGTGAATAGTACTGCAGTGAACATAGGGCTGCATATACCTTTCTGAATTTGAATTAGTGTTTTAGAATTCTTCTGATAAATACCCAGGAGTGGGATTGCTGGATCATAAGGTAATTCTATTCTTAATTTTTTAAGGAACCTTCATACTGTTTTCAAAGTGACTGCACCAGTTTGCAATGCCACCAACAGTGCACGAGGGTTCCCTTTTCTCCATGTCCTTTCCAACAGTTGTTTCTTGATTTACTGATGATAGCCATTCTGACAGGTGTGAGGTGGTATGTCATTAACACAAATTTTTAATGTATGTAAATCTATGAAGGAAAAATTATGAGTATAAAGATTGATTAGCTCATCAGGTAAGGATGCTAGAAATACAGATTGTAGTTTCAGAAGTACCACAGAGTTATTTTGGGCCTTATACAGTAAATGCTTTAATTATATCAAAGTATGTACATGCTTTCTGAGATGAATACAAATCTTTTAGTTTCCTTGTATCGTATGAAAAATGTAAGTAAATGTTTAAATCAGACATGTAGGAACTGTTGAGAAAGGGACTGGGTCACATACCAAAAAAAAATCAATTTAAGAAAGATATGTAAAAGTTTCACTTGATTAAAAAGTTAGTAATAGGGAACCTAGAATTTACGCCAGTGCAGGTATTGGGGTTGTCGGAAAAGTCATGACATGTGTTTATGACAGGTGGCACTAGTTCATTTTTGGAAGTACTAGAGTCATTCGCATCTATGTTATTGCTATGTCATTTGACAGCTGACAGTTCTAGCTTCATTCTAAAAAACAATGAGCTATTTGGTTGAGTTTTGGAGATTTTACAACAAGTTGAAGATGGAACACCAAACTGCATTTTTGCCATATTTTACTGTTTTACTTCCATAAAGGGAAGAACAC